ACCTGGGAGCCCTCAGCCCCCACGAGCCCCTCGGCATCTCCTCCCTGGCAGGCAAAGCTTCCTGCTGGCTGAACTTGAACGTGGAGCTGCTGCGGGAGCAGTTCTTCACCATCCGGAGCAAGAGGCGGAAGCTGGGTGAGGAGCCTGGGGGGGGCAAGCCCAGGACACCTGGGTTCTCTCCAGCTTGGCACTGGGAGCACTGGTTCCCTGCCGTGGCCCCTGGGGGGGGGGGGTGTGTGTGTGTGAAATGGGGTTGGGGCTGTAACCCCCTGTCCTGACACCTCAGGGCCCCCCTCAATCTCCTGCCCTGGGGTGGGGGCTCGTGCTCCCCTCTCACCCGGGCATGTCCCCCCCCGCAGAGCTGCGGCACCGAGCGTCGCCCTGGCAGAGGAACCTGGGCTACCCCTTGGCCATGCTGGGCCTCCTGGTGCTGACGGTGAGTGTCCCTGGGCTCCCAGAGGAGCTGGGGCTTGTCCCCGTCCCCCCCCCAAGCCGCCTTCACTCCCTCCCTGCTCCTCCCAGGGCATCTCCGTGCTCATCGTCTGCTTCCACGTCCTGGAGCTGCTGGTGGACGATGCCGCGATGCCGCGGGGCATCCAGGTACCCGGGGCGGGGGGACAGGGGACAGTGAGGAGTGGTGTCCCATGCTTGGCCCAGGGACCGCTCCCTCCCCCCGCAACGTGCCTCCTCCTCTCCCAGCAGGACGCATCCCTGGGCCAGGTCTCCTTCTCCATCTTTGGTTCCTTCGGAGCTGCCCTGCAGGTCGTCCTCATCTTGTATCCTTCAGGCGGGCACTCACGTCCCCAGCGCTGTCCCTGGGGCCATCCCACCCCGTTCTCCTCCTTAACGCCCCTTGCAGCTACCTGATGGTCTCCTCCGTCGTGGGCTTCTACAGCTCCCCCCTCTTCACCCGGCTGCTCCCCGAGCGGCAGGACACCCCCCTCTGCAAGGGGGGAGGGCCGGGCTGGGGCTGGGGGGGGGTCCCGGGCCCCCATCGGGGTGCAGGACCCCCGGTCCCCTCAGTGTGCGGTTGTGTGTGTCCCTGTGCACTGTGCAGTGTCCCCACGCGAGGGCACCACGCGTCCCCCCACCTCCTGCTGCCTCTGGCACAGGCCCGGGCGGTGGGCAGGTTCCTCTGGTGGGCCTCCGGCACCGGGGAGCCCCTTCCCCAGGCCAGGGGGGGCCAGGCCCTACGACAGCGCTGTGTCGTCCCCCCCAAAATGCTCCTTCCTCCCCCCCAGATCATCGGGAACTGCGTCTCCTTGCTGGTGCTCAGCTCAGCCCTGCCCGTCTTCTCCAGGACGCTGGGTGAGCCCCCGGGAGGGCCAGGGTGACCCCGGGACTGGGGTGTCCCCAGGACTGGGGTGCCCTGACCAGCCCCCCACCCCCGCCCCCCCGCAGGGATCACCCGTTTCGACCTCCTGGGGGACTTTGGCCGCTTCAACTGGCTGGGGAACTTCTACATCGTCTTCCTCTACAACATGGGCTTCGCGGGGCTCACCACCCTCTGCCTGGTGAAGAGGGTCTCCTGGGCCGTCCAGGCCGAGCTCATCCGCGCCTTCGGTGAGGACGGGGACACGGGGACGGGCGCTGGGGTGTGTGTGTGTGTCCCCCGTCTCTCACGCTCTCCCTC